TTGAAGAGTAGAGAGCCTAAAAACAGACCCATTTAAGTATAGCAAACTGACTTTTGACAAAGGTACAAGGGCAATTTAATGGAGAGAAAATAGTCTTTTCAATAAGTGGTGCTAAAATAACTGGACATATACACGCGCGCGCGCGCACACACACACACACACACACACACACACCCAGAGGAAGGAGAAAAACTTTGGCCTAAGTTTCACATTTTATACAAAATTTATCTCAAAATAGATCGTGGACTTAAATATGAAATATAAAGCTGTTAGGAATAAAGGAAGACAGAAAGCTTCAGGATCAAAGGATAAGCAAAGAGTTTTTAGACTTGACAATAAAAGCAAGAATGTAAAGGAAAGAATCCTTACACTAGACTGCATCAAAGTTTAAAACTTGTGCTCTGAGAAAGAATCTGAAAGAAGATGAATAGACAAGCTACAAATTGGAAGAACATATTTGCAAACCACATACCCAATAAAAAATTAGTGTCTTGAACATGTTAGGAACTGTGAAAAACTCAACAATAAAAATTTTAAATCTAATTAGAAAATGGGCAAGAGACAGTTAGCAAAAGAAGATATTCAAATAACAAGCAAGTGAAAAAGTTTTCAACATTATTAGACATTGGGGAAATGCAAATTAAAACCCCAGTGAGCCATCACTACACACCAATAGAATGGCTTAAATAAAAAAACAGAACCACAATATCACTGCATGCTGGTGAATATGCAGATAAACTGGATCACTGATACAATGCACTAAAGAGAATATGCAATGGTAAAGTCACTCAGGAAGACAGTTTGGTGGCTTCTTAAAACTTAACCATGCAAACACTATACATACTACCCAGCAACTGCACTCTTAGACATTCATCCTAGAGAAAAGAAAACTTATGTTCACACCAAAACCTATATACAAATGTTCATAGTACTTCTAGGAAAACAACTCAGAGGAGTTGTTCAACAGAAGACTGATTAAATAAACTATGGTACATCCATATCATAGAACACTACTCAGAAACAAAAGCAATAGCATACAGCTTGAACAAATCTCTAAAAAATTATGCTGGGTAAAAAGAGAATCCAAAAAGCTATATACTGTATGATTCCATTTATATAACATTCTTGAGATGATAAAATTACAAAAATGAAGAAAAAGTGATTGTTTCAGGAGTTAATGATGGGGGTTGTGGAGGTAGAAGGAAAAGTGGTATGGATATAAAAGGCCATCAGGAGAGAGCCTTTTGGTGATGTGGTTGTTCTGTATTTTCACTGTACTGGTATCACTATCCTCCTTGTGATATTTTACTGTAGTTTTACAATATGTTACCATTGAGGAAGCTAGGAAAAGTGGTATCTTTCTGTTTTATTTCTTAAAACTGCACATTGTACTATTATTATGTACTACTATTAACTCAAAATGAAGAGTTTAACTGAAAAACACATTAGGTGATAATACTACTCATTTACTAGATGAGAAAACAATTCAGTTGAGTTTCAATATATTGCTCAAGGTCATATACTACCAGTAAATAGAAGAAGCAGAATTCAAACTCAGGTCTGCCAGATTCCTGGAAAAAAGTCACAGATTTACTCAGTAGCATTTATGGAAAAAAATGTTTTGTTTTGTTTTGTTTTTTTGAGACAGGGTCTTGCTCTGTTGCCCAAGCTAAAATGCCGTGGTAAAATCATAGCCCACTACAGCCTCAACCTCCCAGGATCATGCAATCCTCCCACCTCAGCCTCCCAAGTAGCTGGGAGCAGGGGCACATGCTACCACACCAGCGAACTTTTTAATTTTCTATTTTGCAGATATGAAGTCTTGCTATGTTGCTCAGGCTGGTCTTGAACTCCTGGGATCAAGGGATTCTCCTCTTGGCCTCCCGAAGTGCTAGGATGAGCCACAGTGCCCAACAGGGAATAAATAACTATCTATTACGTGCAGGGATTATGGATACAAAAATTTAAAACACAGTATAATTCAGTATCTCTAGGATCATATGTTACTATAGAAGACACAGGTGAATAAGAAATTACAATCAGGTGTATTATGTATATACAAGGCTAAGGGCTAGCACTGTTGAGGGTGATCTAGTGAGAATGCTTAGGTGGGAGAGAGGAACCATTAACAAGTATCAAATCAGACTCAGATTGACCTTTTAAGATCACTCTAGCAGGGTTTTGGAGCACTGGAAGGCACCATGAAATGTGGCAGGGAGATTGATTATGAGTCTCCTCTAATAAGTCAGAAGAAAGATGGTAAGAACAGAACTAAAACAGCTCCTTTGGGAAGAAAGATGACTGGCTGGATAGGGATGCCTTAGCTGTGCTAGGAGATATAAGAGGAAGAAAATCTTTGGTTAAGGAAGACAAAATTAACTATACTTTAGAAATGCTGCATTTGAGGAATCTGCTGAACTTCAAGACAGATATCTACCTAGCCATTTAAATACATACCTCAGAAACTCAAGAAAGATATTACGCTAGTTATAGAGCTTTTGGAATCATCCCTTATAGGACATAGAAAAACACATGAAAAAAGAAATTGCTCAGGGAGAATATATAGAATAAGAAGAGAAAGGGGGTACAGGATGAACTTAATTGAAGCATTCTTTTAGAAAGAATGGTAGCTGGGTACCAACCTAATTCAAGAAACAGACAACTGATAAATAATTTAGATGGAAATTCTTACACAGGAGTATGTATGTTTGTGTGGTGGTGGTTTAAAAAAGGTGTTTTATTACACCTATTTTTAATTTTCGAAAGGGATCATAATTCTAATGATCACAAGTGAACAGTATTTTCTTATGCCAATGTTTTTGGTCATGTATTACTTGCCGTTCTTAATTTTTCTTTCTCACTACTGAAGACTGATAAAATCATCTTCCTAAATGATAAACTAGGAGATGGCTATTGAAGATATTTCGCAATGTATTTTTTTTTTTTTACAGTCTTGGACAAACTTCACAGAAGAAATACCTTTCCAACAATTACAAGCTTATATCAAATCAAATGGTCAGTAATTGACAATCAAGAGAGGGATTTCTTCTTTGTCCTTTTAAAGATAATGAGGGAAATTCCAAATTAAAAAGCCTGTATAAGAGTGGCTTTTTAGAGGAATATGAAAACGAGGGTTTTAATTTGCTCTGTAATCATTGCTGACCCTGTGTTTACACTAAGACTTTTTCTCTCCAGGTAAAACTCAGCCCATCTTGATGAGTTTTGGAAAACAAAAATCTCCAATGAAAAATTTTAAAGTTAACCACTGTGAAACAATAAAAGTTCTGCAGAGAATCACTGACATGTAGAGCACTATAAACATGCCAAAAACAAGACTGAGATTTGTTTCTCTTTTTCTTCTAACCTAATAAATACAAGACGGATACCCTTCAATTAGGTATACAGCCTTATATTATTTAGCTTTATATTACACTTGTGCCTTGGTATATGGATGCATTCACTCCTTGTTTGATTGCTAAAGGAATAGCAGCATGGTAATCCAAATGAAGCAATTAATGTTCCTCTTCTTTTTCTTTTTGTGACAATCATTTCTGGAAATGCTTTTCCCCTTTCACATTAGTTTATTCATATGCCTTAACTCTTGAGTTTCAGGTTCCCATAACAGAACATTCAGGATGAAAGGGGAAAGGATAAGAAGGCAGCATACAGTTTTCAGTTATCAAAATTCACAACGGCAAATAATGGACAGTTGGCTTCTCAAGGAAAGTAATCTACTGAGGAAAAAAAAATCCCAAACCACAATGTTTCCCAATCCTGTACACGAAGAGATAATATTTTAGTTATAATAGCTTTAACGGTTAACAATGGAAGTGAGCCTAAAATAAAAAATTGATCTTTTAAATAAAAATACTGTAATTTCAACATAGGTAAAGAAGCAATTTTGCTGTCTTAAAAACACAGCAGAAACAAGTCCACACAGAAAAAAAATGCAGCAAAATTAGATGAAAATGTTCTAAGTTCTTTTTAAACTAGGTGAATGGAAGAAGCATTTTTAATGTGCTTAAGCATATAATCATAAAGAGTATAAAGACAGTGTCACAATTTTCCATCTTACCACATCACAGTTCCATTCTCTAGAGCCTCAGCTTAACTCTACAATCAATATGCCAATATTTTCAACAATCAGATCAGGGAAGGAAGATTTCAAAAGGGAGGCACATGTTAGGATCCTCCTGGAAACCTCATTTTTTGATCTGCAGTCCAATGCCCTACCTCAGAGCTGTATCCCCTCCTGGAAACCTCATTTCTAATCCTGTAAATTTCCAACAGAGTAAGTGACACATCTAAATTCAGGAACAAAAAGATGTCAAACAACCCCAGGTAAGTGAAGATGTATTAGGAAGTACACTTTTCCCCTAAAGCCCAGAAATGGTATGTTAAAATATAGTCAAATTGTTTAACATCAAAATTTTAGGTACAACCAAAATTCATTCATAAAATATAATCCCCTAACAGAGAGTAAAGAGAAAATCTCATACATGGTCAGACTACACAATGGAGATTCTTTCTACAACCAAGTAAGATTACAAATGAGTAAGCAAAGTCAGTTAACTGAAAGAAGAAAAAATAATTCTGAATAAGCAAACCACAGGTAACAGGAAGTGATTGTCAATTTGTTTCAGAAGCAAAAATATATCTAGCCTCATAATAAATAAAACCTTGAAAATTCTCTATTCATTCTAAAGTAGAATATCCTGCCTTTCCTCTTATTGTAGTTTCATTATTTTCCCTCTTTAAACTCTAAATCAGGCCTCCGGAACAGAGTCTGAAGATTGCTTCCTCTTGGTCAGCAGCAATGTCAGATTGCAAGCAAAGAGCCTGTGCTTCATCCAAGAATCTTTAAGCCAAAGGAAATATATTCTCAAATAAAACTTCTCAGCTTCATTCACTTCCCCAAGTGCCCAGAGGAGCCCATCAACATGAGAAGACTGGAGGGAGGTGGAAGGTTTCCCTTGGGAAGAGAAACCATATTGACTTACCTGCTCTGCATACTTGAACTTAACATAGAACCAGCTTGACTTGATCATTGTCTCACCTCCCACCCTCAGAGAAAAAGAAAAATGAAAAGAGAAAAACAAAAAACCCACAATATAGTGCTAGAGAAAAAGCAGTGTGTCAGCAAAAGCTTCTTTCTGATGCTGAGTTTTCTGAAGGATGACAAGTATTCAAAGACAGCAGGGAAAAAAGGTGAAAAAATAGGAAAATCCACTCTTTCAAACCTGGCCTTCTTCCCCTTTATGTTCCTGAGAACCTTCCCTGAGCTCCTAAAACACTGTGTGTGATCTTGCTCCGGAAACTGCACTCCAGGACTGCTTTGCCAAGCTGCCTGCCTCTCCCTCCCTCTCCCTCCCTCTGTGTTTCTCTGTTGGCCAGCTGACAAGAGAATTCCTCATATGGACTTCAACTGCCCTCATCACAAATGACACATGTCAGTAAAGACAGGGGGCAGGCTATGGCCCTGGTACCTCCCAGAAGGACAACCTTCTCCTCCCACCCCTACTCCCATGGGATGAATAATGAATTCCAGCACTTCCCTCAGGACACAGATTAACACCTGGCCAAACATCATTTTGACAAGAGCCTGAGTCTAGGAAAAGGACATTGCCACAGATTTAACCCCATGATCTCCAAAACGAGATCAGGAAATGATCTTTCTCCATGCCTACAGAAGATTATCACACTAAAAACAGTCCAGTCTCTTTAGCAAATAGTGAATAAGACTCCATCTTAAGTTATCCAGCTGAAACAACATCTTCCAACCTCTGGTAGCAGAGATAGAGAAACTGGAACAGCTTTCTCTTACTATTCCCCCTTACTTGTTCTTGTTGACAGAACAGCTCCTAGTATTCAGCAGCAGGAACTAACAGCTTGGAAAAATGATTGACGCTTTATAGACATATTTCTTTTCAGAAAAGTAAAGAAAATATTTTTATTTTTGTTATACTACTACTAACTCATTAAACTTCCAAGAAAAAGTGTGAAATGGCATCAGCACTCAGTTTATGAGATGAAAGAAACAGAGAGGAGGGGATGAAATCAAGGAGCATAGTTTGAGCATACATGGATGTCAGACACCCAGGCATTGCCATGATAAGGTAAATGTGCTCGAGACGTTCAGACACATGGGAAACAGTGATTCCCAAAATTTTAAATAATATGATGGCACATCTCGACTGTCAAATAAAAAGTATTTCCCAAATACAAAATAATTAAGACCCATCTGGATTCAAAAGTGGATTCCACAGAATGCTGTAAACGATTCCTCACCTCTACAGAGAGAGACAACAATGCAGAGGAATTTGGATGTATGATGTTGTCAGCTTCCATCTTCCAAAGCGGTCTGAAAAATTTTACAACTCAGTTGCTTTGTGTCCCCTCTTATTTCTACTGCTGACTATAGTATTATATTTAGTAAGTGGCCTTTATCATTATCAGAAGGGTAAAAATGTACATGGGGGCTCATGTCCCTTTCCTGTTAGCAATGAATCAGGAGCATGTACGACCCACTGTTTTATTTTCCTAATTCTGTGTTGCAGAAGCATCAAAGATGTGGACCTACAAATCCTTCACTGGAGGCACATCAGGCTTTCCTCAGCCAAGGTGTCTGAAGGCATAACATTTGCTGAGACCTAAAATGTCATTTACTAAATGTCTTCATGGAAAAAGAAGCTGCTATTACTTATTCAGCTAAACAGCAGCTTCATTTAAGCATTCAAAATTTTAGGAGCGATTACTACTGAAAGACCCTCCTGAAAAAACCTTATCCCTACATCAAGACAGTCAGTTATTATCATCTTCCCTGTAATAATTTTGAAGAAGCACTGTCCTCTACACTCACCTTAACAGTCAAATACTGTTTCAGCAAAGCGGCTAGACAAGTGCGTAGTCAAACTTCACATTGAAATTGACAGCAAGCGGGTCTTATGAGATCTACGTACAGAGAGGGATCTCAGTGGATTCTGATTCTAGTTGGTAACCAAGTGAGAACACAGACCACAGAGGAGGTAGAAAAGAGAGTCTACGAAATTCACACCAAAAAAAAAAAAAAAAGACCTCTAATTTATCTGAGGGCAATGGCTCTATTCCTACTGGTGCCTCTGAATTCCCTGAAATCATTCTAGCAACCAGGTATTCTTTTTGTCCAGGAAGCCCTTATGTTCCTCCCTCATAGTCTCTTGTCCTTTAGATTGACACTTAGCTGTAACTTCCTGCAAGTTTTCCTTATCCTCATTCCTAAGTCTGGGTTGGGGGCATCTATAGCATACTGAACTTCTCCCCTCATTAGCACTTATCAGACAATTTCATTGCTGCCTGTTTACTTCTGTTCATATCCCTCTGAACTGGAGATCTCTTCAGAGCAAGTGCCCATTCTGCCTCAATCACAGTTAGAATCTGTGCCTTGGGCACTGTGCGAAGACACAGTTGATGCCTCACTAGTATTTGCTGGATGGTTGGAAGGAAAAGTTAGATTCCTTAGCATGAATGGAGATGAGACAATGCACGTAAAGTCCTTAACACATTTTCTCCAACACAACCAAGTTTTCTATTAATGTTCACTATCATTGTAGCCATGGAGACAGTGGGGAGCATTTGGAACTATCACCTAAAGGACAGAAAAAGTAACTCGGTAAATGTATTGATGGGCGACACTGAAAAAACTAACAGATGTTGAAGTCCACTGATCTATAATAATAGTCCAGACAGAGTTGTGATTCTTCTAAGGGGAACACAGGCTCATGAGGGCAGACAAGTGGCATGCTGCTGGGAGGAAATGGGCAGCACAAGAGCTTCAGGGAACTGGGGGTACTAACAAGGAAGGTGGTGAGGGGTGAGGGGATTATCCAGGTACTACAAGCTGGACAAGGGAAGAAGTGAGGCTATAGGAGCTCATGGTCTGCAAAAACAGTTAGGTGTCCAGGGTTTCACAGGAATTATGGGGCTAGGGGGTGAGGTGACAGAGTGACAACTGACCAACTGTACTTAGAGACATGATGGCAAAAAAAAAATCATGTCTTCAGGAAAGACTGTGAAAGAGTAGAGATTTTTAAAATGTCAATCCATTTCCTTGTGATCGTTCCTACTTTGTCCTAAGTCCAAAAGCTCACAGAGAAGGGGAAAAAGTAAGATAATGAAAGATTCCAAAAAGCTAGAATCTGGGTAATCAAGTAGTTAAACTCATTCATAGGCTTTGTGAATATTCTACCTGGGAAGGGACTTTAAAAGTTCACAAAAAGCAGTATTGCTTAATCTTTAGCATGAGGACCCCTTTAATGTAAAAAGAAATAATAAATTCCCCATTGACAACATACTAAATTTTAGCAGTCATTCATTGATCAAAGAAACACAAAATGTAAGCATTTAGTAACGCTTTTAAATGAATTTATATTATATTAGCCATCCCTTCAACAAAGGCCTAAGGATAGTGTGTATGCAAATAAGTAGCACTTGTGCCCTATTTCCTGTCCTGAAAAAGGCTGTACCTCCCAGGTTGCTAATTGACCTGGATCAAATACCACAGTGATAAAAGAAGTAAAGCCTGGAGGGTAAAGTGACTTCACCAAGGTCTCACAGCTGATCCATGGCCGAGCTGGGTCTACAAGCCTTCCTGGCTCCAGCATGCCACTGCATAGAAGAGTCTTCCTGAGAAGACAGTAACTGTATTACGCATTTCAGGTAATACAGTAGGATTGTGGAACAGTAGGAACTACTGACAACATTAAAATTTTCTTAGAGCTAAAGAGAAGAGGGACACGTTCTATTTATTTTATCTCCCAAATATCTAATAATTGCATGAGTATAAGACATTACTTAATGGATAAGAAGGAGGGAGATCAACCTCAATTTAGGAGCAGATTATTGGTTTTATTTTGTTTAAAGCATATTAAGAGAGGAAAAAGAAATGAACTAGTGGCAGCAGAGAAAAAAGGCTGCTTTATAGGAGAGTACAATGCATCAGGCAGGGGTTACACCTAAAAGCTTTGGAGGCTGAAGGCCCTTGGTTCCAATCCCAGCCATGGCAAATGCTGGGTATAATTGCAAATAATCACTTATCTCTCAAACTGAAGTTCCCCATCTGTAAACTGAGGGTAATCAAACCTATCTTAACATGAGTATTCCTGTGAGAATTAAATAGGCTCATAGCTGTAAAGCAGTTAACAGAGCTTCAGGCTCACAACTGAGCTTGATAAAATGTAACCACAATGTCACCTTAAATGACATCACAACTTCCTAACCTCTGCTTAGTAGCTACAGTCAGCTAAAGACCCTTATAGAAATATCACTTCTTAGACTTCGTTAGAAACTCCACCTGGTATGATAGAGCCTTAATTATCCTCTGATTAAGTCCAAAGCCTGACATGCTATAAGGAAGAGAAGAAGAGGACCAGAGAGGACACCAGAAGTCTACCTGGTGCACTTGGAAGGTGTAAGTGGCTAAAGATGCTATAGTTTGTGAGCTGCAGGACAGTTATCTCCTCCAACAGGAGTGTGTTCTCTAATTTATCCTTAATGTTTTCTGGAAAATTAAAACTCCATAAAAACACACATAGAAAAACTATCAAGTAAGCCTTTATTATTATTATTAATAACTTATTCTTAACTATGAAACCACAACCAAGACAGGCTTCCGCAGCAACTTATTTTCATTTCCTGGCATAAACTCCTCCTTCCACTTCCCACCCGCCTTTTTTGTTTTGTTTTAAACAGACAGTTTGCTGTTAAAATGGGATGATCTATGTGGAGGAATTGCTTCAGCTGCACAAAAAGAATTCTCCACTGCAGCTGTACTTGGAACACATCATTTCCTCTGGCAGAACATCTGAATGCTTTTTAAGAGAGTCTGAAGAGGTACGATGGGTGCTCAAGGACTTTCCCTTTCCTCAGCCAACAGAGCTGGTCACAGCTCTGACAAAACCTCCAGAAGGATTCATTCATCTATCAAAAACCACGTCTTCCATCCTTTGCATGTGCTTTTCTTCTTCTAAGAATGACTTTCTCTCTCTTTTTCAGCCTTTCTAGTCCCTATCCAAGCACGCACAGGCATTTATGCATGAGCTGTGCACACATATGCATATACACATATACTCATGCATGCACACATCTTAACTCAAAATTCTCTCAGACCTGAACATTTTACAAAAGTCTCCCTTGACCCTCAAAGAAAGAATTTGCAAATGACACAATTCAGAAATTTAGCTTAACAGTAAAGCTTAAAATAAGTTCAACTGCAATACAAACTACAAAGATATAGCTGAATTATAAACAGAACTGTTTCTATCCTACAATCTGCTATTCAGCAGAAAAAGAAAGCCCCATGCTCTTTCCTACTCATTACATCCCACGATAAATGGGTACTCCCTTAAATCTTTAGGGAGACGGAGAAGTACATATCATCTGAGCATTTCAGGAGGCAGGAATCATGCCTGTGTTATCTGCATCTGACCTCTTCTCTGCTCCTAAGAGGCACAGGGCCTAGCATGAAAGAAACCAGGGCCCACTGCCAAGAACAGAATTAAATGGCATCAGCTCCAAGCTTAGTGGTTTCTAGAGTCCTTAAGGGACTCTAGAAAGGCAAGAGGCCGATCCAGGATTCTGAAGGTGGGATAATGATCTCAAGGGACACGAAGCCATCTTGTAGGAAGAGTTGAGGATGAGAACCACCTCTATAAGGGTCAACTTCAGGGCTCCTTCTCCCTGCTACAGTGCCCACTTCTGGATAACGTTTCTCCCTTGTCATACTTACCATCAGGGCAAGCAGAAACAAGCTATGACAGAGTTGGATAGATGAATTATGTCCTGCGATTTGTTGAAGGATAGCAAATAGTGCTCAATGCTTGAACCAATCACCTTCCAGAGGTGCTCCTTGATACTTAGAATTCCTTGAGGTTGTATGAGTTTTGTTATTTTGTTTTCCTCAGAACTTTCCAAAAAGCACTCAGAAAGGTTCACCTGCTTAAGATTAAGTTAAAGGGAGGAAAACATGCTAAAATCAATAATCTTTTGAGAGGAGGAGTTACATAGCCTTATAATGTGGGCTCTATCTCTGTAAGCAATATGTTAAAAAAATTTCATCATTTTTCTATTATAGAAATATGTCCACTTGTAAGAACTAACTGACTAAATTGGCCTGATATCAGGGCAGAGAATTTTGAGCTAAGAACTCACTCTGGAATCTGTCCATATTTTCATTGCTATAAAAAGAGAAGAAAACAGACGCCCATAGTGTGAAAGGAACAGTTACATATTCAAAGGAAATTATAAAAATATACTAAGATTACAACTAACAACAGGATCAATGTTGAAGACATTTTCCTAAAAGGTTCCTAAGAATAGGTATATTATGATCTATTTTAAAATATAAAAGTAAGCTCTGTCATAATCACCTTGTCTATCTGTAAAATGTATACACCCAAATCACTCATATTCAAGAGATAGGGCAGCACTTTAAACTTCAGAACTTGTCAGAGGTAGAGGGAGTTATACATTTTACATAAACGATACTACAGATTGCTGATTGTTCCATCAAAATCTCTACACCAACAGAGCTGATCCTTGCCAGTTACATTCAAGACTCTGTAGAGACCCTGGTAGCCCAACACAAAACATAACAATTTTACAAAAATAATGCGGTATCTGATGCACAAAAACAGGTAACCAACAATACATACTGAAGAGTTAGTGAACACATGGACGGTAAACTATTCTCCACAAAGTATACCAGAAGGAACGATATAAACAACACACATACACACACCCCCAACACACACGCGCACACACACACAGATCTGAGACTGAAATCCTAGGCAGTCTGGTTGAGAAGACTAATGGTACATATAAGAAATGACTTAAGAACTCCTATTATAAAACAACAAATCCCAAAAGTGCAAATCAATATACCACACACAGAAATTGAAGTTGATGAGCATCTAGAAAGCAATAAGAAGAATTAAAGGTGGACAAGAAGAACTTCTAATGAAAAGGAAGCTTTGAAGAAAATACAGAAGCTGATTAGGTCCATGGAAAGGGACAAGACATTCCAGGTAGACATAAAACACCTAAAAAGCAAAAGATAACGGAAATGGTGATCTTTCCCATCAATATATATTTCACTGATTAACTCTGCATGTTCATCTCTGCAACAATTGCTTTTGGAAAATGACTGATTCTGAAGTTTGATACTGTGTCTTTTCATAAAAATGTGCGTGTAAATACTTATTTCTATATAAAAAATCATATACCTACCCTCTTCATACACAGAATTACACAGATAAATGGTAGCCAAGTTATTTTAACTGGTTGTGCAGTATGAATTCAGAATGATTATAATTACAGTTTCTCTTTTAAAATGAGGTTTTGTTCTTTAATATTCATTGACTACTAGCTTGCTTCCCACACACAACACATTATTTACTCTACAGTGGTTTGGTGCATCAATTATGGTAATAGTTTGTGAATAACATTCACATTATGGAAAAATGAGCCTGGTTACTTAGCTCTCCCTCTGGAAAATTGTCACAAACATATGTATCATCTGTCTCTACTTAGAGTGCAGCAATTAGTAATTATAGCTGTGTATACTTTTTTAAAGCCAAGGGGGAAAATAGACCTGAAATGTCATGTTTCCAAATGTCCTTAGGATGTTATCTAAAATTATTTTGTTTGAACTCTAGTTGAAAAGAGAAAATGCAGTCTGACAAAATTTTGAACTCTAGTTGAAAAGAGAAAATGCAGTCTGACAAAATGAAAAATCACTAATAGCATGCTGGATATGAAGAAATAGACAAAGCATCCACAAATGATATCACCTGCTGAACAATTCCTTCTTCATCCAGACAGATTAGAAAGAAATAGACCATGGGCTATGGGAGGCCTGACTATAGCAGCCACACTGTGAAGCAAGACAGGCTCAGATTTAGACCCTAGTCATATATTCTCTAGCTCAGTTAAACCATTATTCATGGAGTGCCTTCTATATACCAGACACAGTACAGGATTCTACAGAAAGAATCAGTAAGATAAAACAATTTTTCCAAAGCTTACTATGTACTAGGGAACCAGCAGCATAATCAATACAATTTAGTATAAAGTATGCAGATTTTAAAAGAGGTTTAAGATAGAGGAATAGTTTAGAAAGGTATTTCTGTTGGCAGAGAAAGGGGATGAGAGATATAAAGCTTTTCCAAGACACAGACTACTGAGTTGCAGTGACAGGATGATATAGAAGATCATGATCCAAGAAAGAAAAATCCTGGGTGAATCCTAGTAAGGGAGTCCAAGATCCAACAATGTGAATGGATACTTGGCAAGTGGAGGTGAGGGATAATGGGGAGGAGGCCAAAGACCTAGGAAGCTTGGTTTTTGATGTTCATCTACATAGATACTGAAATTGTCCAGATCACACATTACTTAGCTTCTCTGACTCCAAATTTGTAATTTCTACTCATTTGTAAAGTGAGAAAAATGAAACTTCCCCAAATATTTTTGAGAGAACTGAATGCGACTATTCATTAAGTAACTTGCATAGTTTCTGGCACCAACAGGCTCCCAAAAGCTCTTTAAATATTAGCACTTTATTGTAACCAAGAAAACATTTAGAAAAAAGACAACAGGAATAATACAAGGGTTCTGAAAAACAGAAAGGTAGAGAATAGCAATCATAATAGAAAGGACAGGGTAGAGACCATGAAAAATCAATAGGTGCTGTTCTTCCACACTGCCGTAAAAGACCGATCACTTGAGGGTCCAGAATTTCTAGAGGCAACAGGCAAAATTTGGGACAGCTGATTACTAACAGGAGACCAGAAAGTATTTCCTTTTGCACAGGTGAAATGTGAGAATTTACAGTCTAGTACAAAATAGCTCCGGTGTATATATCACAGAAGCAACTAGAATTTGGTCCTCGCCAAATGTCATTCCTCAAGGAATACTCTGGCTTTCCTCTTTCCAATGCCAAAAAGAGGCAAGCAACCACAAAAACAATCCAGTCATACTGCCTACCTGCATTATCTGAGGACTCGTTAAAAATGTACTTTCTCAGGCCTTCCCCAGGTCTACCAACTCAGACACCTTGTAAGTGGAGCCCAACAGTAGGTTCAACAAGCCTTCTACATGATTTTGGTGCCGGAAAAAGTAGGAGAATCGTTAATCTACTGCCATCTTGTAGTTGCAGAGTGACTATCTGAAGCAGGCCCAGAGAGAAGGTCACACACTGTCAGTCTCTGGACTCCTAGCCCTTTGTCTCCTCCTTACACTACATAGTGTAAGTAGAGACATAAGAAGTAAATGTGCCCAGTTGTGTTGCTCTGCGCTTGCTCTACTGCACCTTCACTTGGCCCTGATGGAAGTATTTTCTTGCAAGCAGGCACATGAGATAGAAGCCAAACAGCCCATGGCTCAGTTACCATGCAGTGGCACCAGAAGCAAGTCCTGATTAGTCTTCTAGAATAGAGGTCCATGCCTTTTTCCAGTAAAGGGCAAAAAAGTAAATACTTTAGGTTTTGCAGGCCATACAGTCTCTGTCATAACTATTCGACTATGCCATTACAGCTAAGAAGCAGCCACAGAAGATACATAAACAAAGGTATACAGCTATGCTCCAATAAAACCCGATTGACAAAAAAGATACAAGGTCAGGTTTCGCTGCTGGGCTAAACTCTTATTGCCAACTCTTTGCTGTTGAAGATGGCTGGCACACAGCAGGTGTTCTATAAATACTCTGGCAAACGAATAAATAAATAAAAGAGTGGGGACTAGCTGTTGCTGCTCACAACATCCATTAATGCCTGTCCTTCACGCTTTTTTTTTTTTCAGTACTTCACCACCAGGGCTGTTATATATACTTACTTGTGTAGGCTATACCTGCAGAAGGATGAAGGGCTGAAGGGGTGCTGAATTCCATCCCACAACCCATTTGCCAAACCATGTTTCCTAGTACAAGGCTGCTATGCCAGGAGAAAGGGGAGACTTTTCATAACCTGCACAAAGGCACAGGCCACTCGAGAAACTATGTGCCCTTGGAACTGAATCGACTAGGGAGGGTTGTTATCTAATTTGCACACAAACACCCTCTCTGTTTCACTTCCTTCCTGTGTCCTCATCTTTTCCTTCTTCTCTTCATCTAGACCCCAACATACCCATGAAGAATTACTAGATGCCTTTACTGGTAGTTCTCCAGAACAGAAACAATCTCCAAATGTTTTCAATTAAGAATCTTTATCAATACAAAAAAAATTTCTAATATATTGCCCTGATATATATGTAACTATAAGGCATGGATATATTACATATATCATAAAATATACAAATAGACATAAGGAATGATATAAAGATAACATGAACACAATTTTTAGTGTTTTAGCCAACACAATGATATTAGCTAACATCTCAGGGTACAGCATCCATTTAGGACAAGGTAAATCATTAACAATCATAGATATCAACTTAAGTTCCAACTTGTTAAAATAGTTTCCATTTTTTTGGCTGGCTTCCTACTAGATACGACTATATAGTTGCTGTTTTTTAACCCACTGATGAGGCTGATAAGGAGCTCATTTTAAAAAAAGAAATGTCAACTCTGTCATTTTCCTGCTGTTGTCCTGTGTTTACATTCTCTTATTCCACGGTTTGACGGAATTTTAAAAATCACTTGCTCTCTGCCAGTTGTGGTGGCTCCCACATGTAATCCCAGAAACTTGGAGGGACAAGTCAGGCAAACAGCTTGAACAGGAGTTTGAGGCCAGCCTGGGCAACATGGCGAAACCCCATCTCTCCAAAAAAAAAAAAAAAAAACTCAGCCAGGCGTAGAGGTTCACACCTATAGTCCCAGCTACTTGGGAGGCTGAAGTAGGAGGATCACTTGAGCCCAGGAGGTTGAAGCTGCAGTGAGCTGTACTGCACAGCTCTGCACTCCAGCCTGGGTGATGGAATGAGACCCTGTCTCAAAATAAAAATAAAATCACTTGCTCTCTTTGCCAAAAGTAAATAATATAACCCATTAACATGCTTTATGAGCCACAAACTGGAGCATACCACACAACAAAAGGCTGATGGAGTGTGCCACTTTGTCAATTTCCAGTCTTCCTTCCAGACCTGCCACACCCTACAGAGCAGAGGACTGTCTTATAGCCTGAGTGACACTGCACTGTCAACTTGGATATTATGTAACAACAACATTTAATCTCTTCCTTAAGATGAGAATAAATCTAGATATAATTTTGATCACCTTTTTGGTGCACCAATGGATTATCCTAAAAATCTTGTAAGGAGTTGAGGGGAAAGACCACATACCTCATCTTAAAGATTTCCACTCTACATCACTGTTTCAACTGCAGGTGACTGTGATTGTAAAACCAATTTAGTGAGTAATCACAATTATGGGTGTGTATTAATAGTGTAAAACAGAAAAGAAAATATTAGCGTGTACTGCATGTATAATGAAACTTTCAGTTTTATATGAGTACATGTAAGCACAGTTATGTATACGCATTTGAGCATATGCATATGTATGTATTCTTGATGACATAAACTGTAGTTGTAATTGTGTGGGCTGGCACAAAAAAAAGTTTTGAAAGCCATACTCTAGGTGAAAGATTTGGAAGCTCCCTGGGATGAGATGCCAGCACAATAGTGTGGTCCAAATGCCAGGTGAAGGGAAGGAGAGAAGGCAAAGCAGCAGCTGGGGTGTGCTGGAAAGAATACCAGGCCTAAGTGAAACTGCATCTGAATGCCAGCTCTACACTGTCTAGGTGTGTCAATTAGGGGAGACACAATCGCCAGACCTCTGCTTTCTTTACCTAAAAAGGGGGGCTATGATACTTACGAAGTTGCGGGAGCTACTGGAAATCATGACTGTCACTAGACGATGTCCATCTCACAGTAGGTATTAATATCAAATGATAATTGTAGGGTAAACACACCTGAGAGCAATAAGTGGAGCATATCTTCAAAACGACCCTGTGTGGAAGATGCACCTGAAGGTGTATGTCGAGCTAGACAGTCCCAGAGTGGCTAATCCGGAGACTCAAGGAACATCTGAGCCCCATTGCCCATGCCAAAGAACATGGGCCATATAGAAAACTGAGGCCCTAAATTCTGGGTTAGATGCAAGTTGTCAGGTGAAAGGCATTAAGGGGAGGATGTTAAGTGAAAATGCTATATAAACTGCATGCTGTTTGCAAAGTGGCTGTGGTTTTCCTGCCCAGCCCTATACCACTGAGTGGTGTGGGTATGTTGTCCAGCCTGGCACCACTGGACTCTCTCCCTTTACGTAAGTCCCTAATGAAACACCATGTTTCGTTTACTGGCTCTGGGTCTCTTCTTCTGGGCCTCTTGAACCTGGTGCCTTCCATACTGAGATGAATAGAGGTACAGCACAACAGATGAGTTCTTCTTAAATTGGAAAAGTAGAGAACCTTGTTATGGAAGCTTAAACATGCAACAAGACATACAGGAAAGATGACCATAGGAGAAGGCACTGTCCAGAGCTTTATGCATCCCAACCTAACTGGCAAGTCCTCTTTGACAGCAGAAGAGATAATGCTTTGTAAAGGAATACAGATGTTCAGAAACCTGTAATTACACCCTCCCCTCCCTACCACCTCTGAACACACCCCTGAGGCTACAGAAAATACAAGCAAAAAAACCAAAGAAATGAAATACTGTTTTAAAAAACAGCCCCTCTTAATCTCCAGCTTCCTACAGCACAGCTTTCATTATTCATGAAGACAGCCTAAGCAATTTGTAATCAATATGCAAAATATATTTACTTGGAAAATCAGGAAAATTCATATGGTGTTACAGAACAAATGCAAGTTAATTTATGTAGAAATTCCAATTAAGAGCTGTTCCGGCCACCATGATGGGTTCTTACAGACAACCCCCAAAATCCACTTGGTTTCTCAAAAGGCTAGATTAGCTTTAATAATCCTAAAATATTAGACAACAACCATAAAACCCTTGCTCAGTGCAGACTGAAGACCACAAACGCCACTACTGATTGAACTGGGATCACTTGAATTTCTGAAATAGCCCCAAAGATAAAGGTTCTAAACCTAATGGTTAGGTCGCTGACCAGCTTTATGACCTTGTGTAAGGCAAAACTTTAAACTTCTCTTTTCCCATGTACAAAATAATGAAGCTGTTCAAAAATAACAAACTGGCAGTTCTATTTTATTTGGCCAGCACATTACTTTTTAAAAGATGGTTTTGAGAATAAGGCACCATTTCCCCAGCAACTGGAGAGGCCAAGGCAGAAGAATCGCTTGAAGACCAAGGCAGGAGAATCACTTGAGCCCAGGAGTTCAAGGTAATAGTGAGCTATGATCATGCCACTGCATTCTAGTCTGGGCGACAAAGCTAGACCTCATCTCTAAAAATTAAAATTAGGCCAGGCATGGTGGTATACACCTGTAGTCCTAACTACTTGGAAGGCTGAAATGGCAGGATTGCTTGAGCCCAGGAGTCTGAGGTTACGGTGAGCTATAATATCATCACTGCACTCTAGCCTGAGCAACAGAGTGAAATCCTGTCTCTAAAAAAAATTAAAAATTAAAATAAATGGGTTTGAGTATACAATATTGCTAACAGTAGTCACTATCTGGCATAAATGAAATTTGCTAAGAGGGCAGATATTAAGTATTCTCACTACAAAAAGAAAATTGATAACTATGTGGAGTGATATATTGATTAGTTTGATTGTGAATATTCACAAGGTATATTTATATCCCATCATCAAGCTACAGACCTTAAATATACGTAAACACTTTAATTATTTAATAAACACTTTAATTACTGAGATAAAAAACACCTCAGTAAAGTTGTGGGGTAGGGGTAGGGGAACAGAACAAACACTCTGTAGTCTGTCAGAGGCTCCACCTCTCCCTAATAGAGAGGAAATCATAAGGGAATGGCCGCACAAATATGTTATCTGCTCAGCTGTGAGGTATATGCAAACAGATCTAGGGGAAGGCCAACCCTTGACTCTAAAGTAGGAATTCAATAAAGGCCCAAACAATTCTTGTTTCAGGGGAAAAGGAGTTGGGGGGTACTAGTATTACCTTCAGACCTCTCCCTCAGTAACTGACCTAAAGTTAAGTACTCAGTCAAGCTTGTAAAAAAAGAGAGACCAAGGTATTTCTATGAAGAAATTTCTACAAAAAGAATTTCTAATGGCTTATATATCCCAAGAGTTCTAATACCTCTGCCTGCAGTTTCCACTACTGGCTGGCCACCCTTCCAATGAATGGGAAATAAATAGAAGACTGGGTCTCCCCGGATGTTGGAGAGCATTCCAGCTGCTGAGCACAACCTGTTTGTAATTTTCTACTTAACCATCAGAATGTAAACACAAACCTTCAGAAAAACAGGCCCTGAAACTTCCTCCTGACTGCTGTTAGTGGTTTCTTTAATCTTTTAAGCTCTTGGGCTTAATATAGCAGCTGCCATCAAGAGTATTTATTGCTGCTGAGGATAGAAGGAAAGAAAAAAAAAAAATCATACTAACTTCAGAAACATGGATTTCCATCCTGCCAGAATCCAGGCTAAACGGCAGGGGTGAAGGGGACACAGTGATAATGGGAATCAGAAATAATCACCATGTGGAAGCAGACTGGCTTGAAAGAGACATCAGGCGTGTCTAGTGTGCTTAGGGAATTACTCTTAACTCCTCGCACCCACCATTCTCCAGTTCCAAAGCTAAGTGTCATCCTTTTAGGACAAGATATCTTAACAGAGTTCTTATCAAACAACACTGAGATAGGTTTTATGTAAACAAAGCACAAGAACTCTTCTCTAGAACATGCCACTAATTTAGGGGAGGGAAAAGGAAAATTCAAAATTTAAATATTCTCAAATGTCATGGCTACACAACTTGGGAATAAAAAGGAACATGTTTCTTGTCATCTAATGCAGTGATCCTCAAATGTGTACACTGATTACAAAACAAGGGATCTCTATTTGTGGCCTGATGTAAGCACAATATTTCTTTCAGTTTTGGTGTTAATATAGTTAACACTACATGAAGACATATGAGTTCCTCTTAGTCTTTAATATGTGTTTGCTTAAGCATAAAATTAATATCTTACCAAAAGCCTCAAGTGAATAGATATGAAAGGTAGGAAGATACGCCTGCTGTGCCTTTTGTGTGTTTATATTGTGACATCGTATAGCTCCTAATACATTCCCACATTTTCCAAGAAAACACACAAGGAAACATGATCTAGTCCATTGCTACAGTTTTGATAATTGGGAAAAATAAGACCCACAGAGGCAGAAACTCATGCCCAAAGTCACACAACTTCGGTATTTAATCCAGTATTACAACTACTAGTTCAATGGAAGGTACTTTTCACTAATTTACCATGATTCTGAATACTTAGGTTTTAAATAATAGAGGTAAACAGAAAAGCTTACTACTTAATAATTAATTTCCTCCTCAGAATTGCCCAAACCTTGCCAACCTGTGAGGGGAAGTCCCAGTACACATGCTGCTGCCCATGAACTATCTGCATTTGGAATCACATTAACATCTTAATAATTTACTGAATATTCAGCATTTATTACTTTCATTTGGTTAATTTAGTATCATTTTTCCATCTTTAAAATAAAAACACAAAAACATTTAAAGGACAAGGTAAACACTACAAATGTAAATTTACACTTTAAGACTTTATTAGTTTTGGAAGCAAAAAAACATAAATATTATC